TGATCGATATACATAAACGAGCGGGATGAATACAAGCGTATCATACATTCAGAAGCAGCGAGCACTGCCAAACCATGAGCCGTCGAATCATAAGGTCATTACAAGTATATACAGAGCAGCCGTTTTTCTTCTTCAAGGAGAGGTGTGACGTGAAGCGCAAAAGTCCAGGACGATGGTAGAGGGTATCAGCGGTGAACGAACGCCAGTTGCGCCGGGAGAGACGGTGGCCCGAGCGAGACGTCGCGGGGAACGAGACGTCGCGGGGAACGAGCCGTCCTTGCGGGAAAACAATTCAGCAACGACTAACTTGCCCGTTACTCGCTCTCCCACGGGTCTCCTCCACGGCCACCCTCGTCGTCTCCCTCCACTTCAAATGTTGTGCCCAGGGCTTCCTTGCCCTGCCTGATCATGTCTCGAAGACGAGAGTTAAAATCATTAATCCTCATGTCTGTCTCCATCTCGTCTTTCATTCGCTTTGCTGCCAGGCTCCTAGCCTTGGCATCTAGTCGCGGGCTGTTGTCGTGCACTTCGTGTAGGGACTCTCGTTTCTTCATCTTCACGGGCGAAGTCGACGAGGCCGACGAGGCCGACATGGCGCTCTGGGTCCGCTGGTGGCTGCGTTTCGCGTAGGGGCTGGGACTAGGTGGTTGCTGTGTGAAATGACTCGCTGCAAAGGGACTGGGGGATTGTGGTCGGGAGGGAACGGGGATTCTGCTAGGTGTCTGCGCATCCATAACAGCAGATGGGACTGGGGATCTGGCGCATGCAAAACTCGCGGGCTCACGGGTCGAGATGGGAGCTGGGCTCGGTCGGGTAGGCCGGGTAGGAATTGGAAGATGACGGTTGAAAGTTGGTGCATTGAGACGGCTAACGGGCTTGCTGATGCGGCGAACGAGCGATGGTGCTGCCGTTCGTTGTACCGGGCGACGTGATGTGGCTCGTGATGCTAGAGAAGGCTGTCGGCTCACGTTAGCTGGCTCATCAATCATGACCCAGTTCTTGCGCAGCTCATCAGTAGGTGTCCCATAGGATATCTGTCTTCGCTTTGGTGCTGGTGGCGGTGTCGACTCAGGTGTGTCACGCTCGTAGTAGGATGGCGAATCGTCGGACTGAGGGAGGCATGCGAATAGAGGGCTGGGATCCCGTCCCATCTGACTGTTTGCTGATTGTTGTCGCGTTTCCTCGGACATCTCATATCCCCTACCGCCTCCAGCGTAGAAACCACGAAACGCACCGCTCTTGCAGAATTCCCAGACCCTGCCAACGACACCGCCGATGGTATTGATTGCATAAGAGCTCCAGCCGGTGGAGATCTGATTGTCAGAGTCGACTGTCATGGGCCTCGACGCCGGCGAATCGACGTCATCGCGCGATCGTTTAGATCCGAGGGCACGCCTGTAGTCGACATCAGAATAAATGCTATCTTCCATATGTCCAAGCTCCTTCTGGATAGCTCCGTTAGGAGTCTCTATCTGGCCAGCTAGCGTATATCGCTTCTCTCTCCAGTTTGTACGGAGGTCGAAGTCGGAACGACCGTCGATGATATGATCTGTGAAGTTTCCATCCCCTGTCATTGCCCAGTCGCTAATGGGCGTGGATTCCCTTGCACCTACCCGCTTCCTCTTAGCGTTGGATATGGGCGTGGGTGCCTCTGATTGCAAACTTGCCGTGGACCTCCCGAGGTACATCGAGCTCGACACGGACGGGGACACCGGGGGCCGAAAGAGACCCGGATGCACGCCTGGAAAGGGTGCGCCCCTACCGCCGCCACCGTTTGGGAGGTCTAAGTGAAAGGTGCCGGACATGAGGATTTGAGAATTATATGACATTTCTAGAGAGGGGTTTGGATGAATATGACGAGTGGTATGTTCAGTTGGAGGGGGCGGCGAACACTAGGCCGACGGAAACGCAGTCGCGGAAACGTTAACGCGCGGCCTCGGTGTTGCGACGGCTGGTTTGGTCAATATGTACACGAAACAAAACCTGGATGCTTCAAACAGTCGTTCGCTAACTCGCTCAATAATAATATCAGAATGTGAATTGTCGTCGATCTCGGGTTTCTTTCGTATGGTTGGAGATGATCGGTTTGTAGTGAATGTTTGTCGCGCGGAGCACCGATGACGGTTGGGGAGAGCGCGTGACCCGATGCTTCGCGACAGTCTTGAAGTTATGTAAAGCCGATAGCTGATGCGATCAGTATTCGCGTTAAACTGCTGCTGGGTAGTTCTATTCGAGGCCCGGCAGCCCGTACGCTTCAACAAACCATGGAGATATGCTGCCTGCGGGGAGGGGAGGAAGAGGCTGGGTTCTGGCTGGGGGGTGCTTAATGTGGGTGACCAAGGCCAGGCGGTGTTGATTTTTGCTTGCCGGCGTTGACCCCTTACACGCCAGACAGACACATGACCTAATGTTAGAGCTGGAGCCGGAACAGGGCTAATGCTAGTACCCGGTGTGACATGAGGAGAGTGCTCGGAAAGTTTATTTGGCGGCGAGAGATATTTCAAGTTTTGCACAGGTTCAAGCCACACGCAGCCGAAACCCCTGGGATTGCGCGGTTTGCGTGTGCTGCCTCTACATCCGGGATGATGAGCTGCTCTTGTGCTCGACCGGCAAAAGGGAGCTTGATTGTTGTGGTCGCGTTGCTGGGCCAGCATGCGTTTAATGAAACACGCCCTATTCAGTGTAGTCAACACCTGGGCAGCCTAGAACTGAGCTTGGGTAGGTGCTGGGGTCGCTGATAAGGTAGCAGATAAGACCGCTGTGCGGGGCGTCGCGGGGCATTCACTCACTGTACAGTATATCTACTACGTACAGACTTTCAGTCACAAGATACTAGAAATCTGGTTGATACTTCTCCTGCCGCCGGCGACGGGGTGACGCACCTTAGGGGGAGCATAGGTAATCTCGATTAATTTGCTTTCATTTTGGGTATAGGTCTATCTCTAGGTGTCCTGTCGCCTCTAGGTTATCATGAGTTCTATCCGTGTTCGTCTCCGTACCACAATGAGAGCGGGCAAACCCCGCCAAACGTCGTGCAATTACAAGTTCCCCGTGTATATGGGAATTAGTCAAGTCGCCTAGGCCTCAGTAAAAAATGCCGTGGTTGTCTTTCTGGGTCGACGTAGGACTCTCTAAGGAGCCGCATCGCTCTCCTTGTCGTAGTAGGCTTCCTGCTTCTTAAGCTTATCCTCCTTAACACCACCGTCGACGCCCGCCTCGCCGTGGACGTGTGCCTGGGCACCCCAGAAATCGTCGCGCTCCTTGAGCACCTCCTCGGCCCATTTCTTCGTCTCTGGGAGCACTATTCTCGTAGCCACGTAGGCAAACTCGCCGAGGTCGAGAGCCTTGTTGGCGCGCTTCTCGTACTCCACCATCTGCGTCAAGAGTTCCATCTTGTCGAGGTCGTGTACGAAGTGGCTGTCCAGCGTCTTTGAATCCTCGTATTCCTGCCAGATCGCCCGGATCTCTGCGCCTGCGAGGCCGCCGTAGACCTTGCCCAGTAGATTCTTCGATATGTAGTCCATCGTCTCGGCCTCGCGGCGGCTCTTCTCCGGCTTCGAGACGCCGTCGACCGGGGTGATGTCGCCGACGATGGCTTCCGCCATGTCGTGGATCAGGCACATCTTCATGCACTTGAACAGGTCGAGCTTCGGCGCGAGCGTGGGCGGGCAGAGCATCGTCATGAGGGACATGCGGTACATGTGGTCGGATATCGATTCGCCTCTGCGCGCGTTGCTGTCAGCTTACAAGTATTGGGGATTGGGCATGTTGGCGTATAGTACCTCTCAATGTTGAAGCGCCTCCATCCCTCGCGCTTATTGGTCTTGAGTCTCTCGAGGATGTGGAAATATGGGACAGGCGAATCGGTGCCCTCGGCGGGCGGTGCAGGAGACAAGGTAGCTATCACCTTCTCTACACTCCATGGCTCAGAGATCTGGGGTGTCGTTACGATACCGGGATCTGGAAGCGCTCCAATTTAGCGTTTGCAATGCATGGGGAAAGGAAAGACGGGACGACTGACCAACGAAGCTGTTGCTACCACCGCTGCCAACGCCTGATGACATCCTGCCTCCTGTGGTTTGTTGATAGCTCTTATGAAGATTTGTCTGGGCTTTGGCAACTTCCGATATCAGTCACGAATGTCGTGGGATCCAGAGGGAGAGAGAGCTGCTGAGGATCTGGAGCAGAGATACAAGTAGAAAAGAGAAAACGGTGTGGAATCCAAAACTAGGTCGGTATTAATACACGCAACCTGTAATGCGCCGTGCTGTAGGTTGCCTAGGTGCACTTGTTTCTGCTCGTCTCAGAGGGTCTGGCTAGGTATACTAGGTAGTTCTTTGTCTATTAAGAAATTCACAGCAACGCCCCAGAAGTCGCTCGAAGTTCATTGCGGTTCCTAATTTCCAGATTAGGATACTTGAAGGGCATGTGAACCCGGTTCCCCCACTGAGAGGCCATATCTGCAGCTTACAGTAGCGTGGGCGCTGCATGCGAGACTGGTACCTGGGCCCCTGCCCACCTCTATTGGCACATGAATTACGCATCTTGCTATTGGATAAGACCAGACGATAGCGCTCTCCGGTGCCGGACCCATTTACATTTTGGGGCTTTCGTTGTTCACTGCAATACATAGTACCTAGCGTTGGTTGTTCCAAAGTCTGGTTAGCAATGGTCTGGTTATTCCATGCTAGGAATAGTGGAAAACGTCAGCAAGCAGAAACATTCCATCTCAGTCCAATTAAAAGGAAATCTTGGTATTTAGTACCGCTTTCATCCTCTTGAAACAGCTTACTCATGAATCAACTGTCTGATGTCTGCTTGAATCTAAGACATACATGTCCGTTTGGGAGAACATTTATAGTAGAACATAGCTAGTTAAATCACTGTCTTTCCCCGGAAACAATTTGTAGTAGGGTTGGCGGACGCATGTTGATTCTAACCCCACAGTCACAAAGGCTACCAGCCCCCACGTATAGTGCTTAACACGCCAGAGTCTGCCATCCGAATTGGTGTAGTGGCTAACATTTGACGCTCTCAATTTACATCTTAAGAATAAAATCTTAAGATTAAAAGGTACCGTCAAGCCCGGGGTTCGATTCCCCGATTCGGAGTTCCTTTTGCTATTTTTCTATTCCATGCACCCATGCCTGTCTTCCAATTTCACCGTCCCTCTCTCTCTTTATTTTATTTTTCTGGCTTCTTGTTATTCTCTCCCTACTCGGATGTAGCTTGGCTATGTTATGTATGTATATACGACCAACTCTCTGTCATTCCCATGCCCTGAGGAGCTTAAGAGTTTTGGTATCTACAAATGAAGTAGGTAACAAACAAAGTCTTGGCCAGATCGAAGATATTACCCGATCCGTGATTCCTTACACGTGATCTTATTATCACCGCTTTCTCGACCGCCTATTTCAGCAATTCCAGGATGAGTTTCTTGTTTTTCTCAATCGACTCCATAACCTCACTGACGCGGATGTACTCGTCTTTCCCATGCGCGACGCGGATCGAACCCGGACCATAGAGCACCTTTTTGTGGTCGCCTCGCAGCCTGGGTATGTCCGTACCGTACGCCATGGGCTCCGCCTCGAAGCCTTCAAACTCCCACTGTAGCACCATCTCGGGGTACTGGAACTTGAAGTCGACATCGACATCGGGATGCTTATCTATCACCTCCTTCACCGCCTTCTTAATGCCCTCGACGTCCTTCGAGACGCGGATGCTGCAGAGCGCCTTGGCCTCGGCCGCCAGGATGTTGTAGCCGGCTCCGCCCTCAATCTTGCCGATGTTCAGCGTCGACGGGCCTAGGAGGTCGGAAACTGGCCATTCCACGGCTGTAAGGTCGTTCATTGCGTCGAAGAGAAGCAGTGTCGCGCTTTTGCCTAGGTGTGGGTATCCGGAATGGCTTTGTGCAGATGACCAAGTCAATATTTCCCCCCGCTCTCGAGTGAGTGCAATTAAAGATATGTCAGCATGCTTACCAGGCCTTCCCGTGAGCGATCACTTCAAACACAAGATTACCCTTGTGTCCTTTCGCTACCTTTCCTTCCGTAGGCTCGGCAAAGAGACCCGCTTCCCATGTGAGCCCCATGTCGTTCGCGGCGATCATTCCCGGACCGCCCTTCTCTTCACCGACGACCCATAGGAAGCTCACGTCTCCCTCCTTCAGCTTCCCCTCGGCGCGCAACTCCTCCACTGCGAATATCTGCGCGACCATAGGCCCTAGGTCGTCGCAAGCGCCGCGCCCGCGGATCACATCGCCGTCAATGCTGAAGGGGATGTGAGGCGGCACCGTATCCATGTGCGCCGTCACGAGCAGCCGGGCTTTTCGCTCCTGGCCGAGGTACGCGTAGACATTGTGTCGTGTCGAGCCCGGTTCGATGGCGATTCGTTCGGCAGTAAACCCGCAACCTTGTATATACTTCTGCAGGTATTGTCCGATCTCGAGCTCTTTTTCACTAGTGCTCTCGATGTTCATGAGCGTTTTCAGGAGCTCGACCACCTCCTTCGAGTCCGTTTTGGCCGCCATGATTCTGTGCTCTGTTAGACAGCCTTTTTATATTAGTTGCGATGTGCAAATGCCGTTACAATTCAAATTAGCCACACTGAGTGTTGGAGAGCTGTACCTACCTAGTAGCTACTACCTAAGGTATCCCTTGATCGGCCCGGGCGGGGTCGGGTCTGGATCGTCGCTTGCTTTGGGCTCCGCAGTTTCAGCTCAGCTGTTGAGGACAACCTGCAGACTCATTCGCAACCTTCATCCAACATTGAGGCTGCGATTTACATGATATACAGATTGGAAGCGTTATCTTATTGCCCCCATGATCGTGAAAAGTGCGGCTCATGATTGAGTTCGATGAATGTCGAGGTCACCGCCCCCGCATGCTATTACAATGTGAACAGCTAACGCACGATGATAGTTTCAATTTACAACCGCTCTGTTTACTTTCATCGCGTACGAACTTTGTTTCAGGTGTCAATCATAATTCATTCTTGCATCGTATTCTCCCCAAAACCGAAGCTGACAGTATATACCAATGCTTCGAATATCATTCCTTCATAACTTCAGAACAGCCATCGCAATCCCTACGCGACAACCACTCATAAAGAGTGTTTCCCACTCAATCAAGGCACACACGACTTCCAATTCATCGTCTACGAGACATCAAGACCGAGCACTAGTCTCATCAAACCAAGAAGGAGACGTCTACGTCGTTACACTGAAAACCGACCCTGCGCATCAGAAGCGCATGTCCGAGTTGCGCGCGCAGTACTTCCCGCCCCATCTCCTCAAAGTCAACGCGCACATAACGCTCTTCCACGCTCTCCCGGACTCTCTCAAATCCACCATAACCTCCGACCTGTTATCTCTATGCGCCGCAATCCGGCCGTTTGGCATCCGCGCGGTGAAACCCTTCCGCATAGCGCGCGGCGTCGGGTTTTCCGTCTCCGGTCTCGGGCCCGCAGAGGCATTGTTCGCGCAGCTGCAGAAGCGGTGGTGGGAATACTTGACGCCGCAGGATAGGAGAAAGTTCAGGGGCCATTATACCCTGATGAATAAAGTTGATGATCGCGAAACCGTAGAGAGGTGCTTGAAGGAGCTTGCGAGCGACTTTGAGGGATGTGGCGGTCTGGCTACTGGTCTTGATCTGTGGAGGTATGATCGTGGGTGGTGGCGACATGAGGGAGATTTCGAAGTCTCTGGCGCGTCGATATAATTTTATATACAGGATACAGTTGATAAAAATAAGAGCGTCTTACGAATATCCTCTCGTTTCCTGCGTGATGCAGATACGTAGGTGGCACACCGTGGACAATGCGACAACTGCTATTTTACCCTAGCTGGCACATGCGTTAATCCTCAACACGAAATAGTTCATCCTTAACATCTTGCCCTTGAAGGTCGAGTCCATAGTGGCGAAGATCCTCAACGGAGCTAAAAGATTAGTTCAAAGAAATACAGTTCTAAGCATAACACCATCACGAAAGTATATTCGGCAGTATGTCAGTGAAATCTTCGCAATTAACTAAGCTATCTAGGCTTGTAGTAATGGACCCTTGTTATGCTGGATTCGTGGAATCAAGATGTGTCCCTATTTGGCCGGTGATTGTACAACGTGTATGCGAAATGTGTGGGCATTATTAGGGAAATGAATTGGGAAGATTCGAGTGTTATTACAATACGGCTGTGGGTAATGCATCGCTTTTTCTTTTCGGGGAGGTTTTTTTTCCGAGTTTTCTTTTCCTGGTTTTTTTTTTCTCTTATTACTCAGAGTCACGGTAGTGATATCCTTTCATAATCTTTTAGGAAGCATTAGGGTAGTTGCTGGTCTCTCTAGGGAGTATGACGACAAAACCAGGGTGGTTATTGCTCCGGCAGAGTGGGCGAGAGTTGTGCAACTCTTGTCATCAGCGAAGTTGTAGAATCATGAATCGCAGAAAGTAGAGTAATAGGAGTTTATCGACTATGACAGTCGACGTAAACAACTACGTTTATGGCATGGTCGAGTAAATGGTTGTAGTTAGATCTCTTCAGCCTCTTCAGCCTCTTCAATCTCATCGAACTCCTCGTTTAACTCAGCATCGCCCTCGTTATCGGGTACAATCTCGAAACTCCCGTCGTCGAACTTCTTGAGGTGGCCGAAGAGGGCAGCAACCTCCTCAGTAGATAGCTTACTCTTCTCGCCAGGCCCTAGGACTGTATTGATGTTCTTGATCTTCTCCTCTTGGAGAGCTTCTATGCGGTCGTCAATAGTATTATGAGCAATTATGCGGAGGAAATACGTTTCTTTTGTCTGACCGATCCGAAATACTCGCGCAAACGCCTGTAATTCAATGGAAATATTCCACCATAGATCGACAAGGATAACTCGGTTTGCGCAGGTCAAATTAAGTGCCACTGAGCCACATCTAAAAGATGCAACCTTAAGCTAGTTAGCGTATTACTTGGTATTCGTTCATCAATAAACTTACTAAAACCTTGATATTCTTTTTGTTATGGAATCCTCGAATGGCGTTTTGCTTCTCCGCCGAAGTCATGTCTCCGAAGAAGTAGAGAAATTCTATACCCTCAGCCTCCAACATACGCCCGAGAATTGCGCCAGTCATTTTAAACTCCACAAAAACGATGATCTTGTCATCGGGAGCCTCAGATTGCCATTTGATGATAGCCTCTCTGACAGCGATTGTCTTTGCGCTTGGCACCGCTGGTTTGGGGTAGGCCTGGTCACATTCCTGAAGGAATCTGGAGTGTGACTTTCGGAACTTCGGATGTTTTTTGAAGCTGTCACGGCCTAGCTTTCGAACTTGAGGTATGGCACGTCGGGAACCTGATGTTTTCACGGAGCCCTCAATATCCGAGTCCTCTGCATCAGATTGCTCGAGTGGCTCGTATTCAGTCAAAGATTTGTTACAGTCGGGGCACTTAGGTATAACCCGCCCACCTCGACGCTCCTCAAGGATATGATCATCGAGGCACTCCTTGCAGAAGAGGTGCTCGCACTACGCGCCGTTGTTAGTCCATAATTTTTATATCATAGTATGCCTCAACTCACTTTAGCTATGTAGCCATCAATAAGTTCTTGGTAACAGAGTCGACACACATCTTCGTTCTTCGATGCGATTGCGATATCGACCTGTCTGTCTATATTGAGGTCATAACCGAACTGACTACTCCCAAAGGCATCCCGAGAGACTTCGTCGTCTTGTTTTTCGGTATTCTCGAGGACGGTCGCCTTTTTGGCGCACCACTTTCCGATCTGCTGAAACAGTGGTACTTTCCCGCCTACCTCTCTAAGACGTCTTTTGATTTCCAGGAGATCATATTTCCTCAAAGTATTCTTGAAGACTGGTTCTAGTAGAATTGGATGTGCTGCACCTTGACGAAGCCGCAGCAAAAAGACAATGTAGATCTCAAGATCCCGCAACCGGACCCGCCGGCCACTTTTCCTGAGTTTTTCCAAGATTTTATTGATGATTTCAATAAAACGGGACTCAACCACGCTTGAAAAAGCTGTAAGCTGAGACTACGTTGCCTGGAAGTAGGGTTACTTACTTGTAGATTACTCGTTCCTCTTTCGTGAGCTGAACACGCCTCACCGACATATGGCAC